AACCTTAAGAAATTACTCAAGTGCTGGAAACATCAGTAAATTTTCACAGCATCTCCTGAACCTGTGTGCAATGTTTGTATGTAAATTTAACCCGAATCTGCACATCTGTTCTAAACACCCAGGTCAAGCAAAGTTGTACTGCACAGCTTTGACCTAGAAAAGCACTTAAATAAAATAATCATGCTTGTGTGGAGAAATGAACCTAAACCCAGGCAGTCTGTGCCTTTTATTGCCACGCTGAACACAAGATGGGAGGCTGCTGCTGGTGCTGGGAATCTGTGAAATCTGAACTCCTGCTGAGCTCCTCTTTCCATTCATGTTTTTTAGTCCCCATTGGTTCCTCCCTACGTCCTTGGATGTTTTCTATCCTCAGACAGAAATGATGTTTTAAATTGCCTTCATCTGCAGTGCTCTTTCATTGTTGTCCCAGGCCTCCAGGGAGAAATAAAACAATGATATTCAGGAGATGGAGTGGGTGTGTTTAACATGATAGAAACCCAGCGTGCCTGGGGCAGCAGGAGGGGCATCCCCAGGCTCAGGTGCTGCCCTGGCTGGGCCATCTGGGCACCACGAGCCACCTCCAGCCTGGCCAAGGCCAGAACCCCCCTAGGAATAACCAAAATGACCTTTCTGAGCAGAGCAGCTGACTTGGAATAGATAAAGAGGACCCCTCCTGTACCTTCCTATGCATTCTGAGGATTTATGGGAGTTCTGCAGAGCAAACCTCTTGCCTTGCCCCTTTCCCCACATCTTTATCATTTTCATGCACTTTGCTGGCCCTTTTCTCTACACAACTCTTAAAATCCAATTTCATCACTTTCCCCATTGTCCCCTTTCTCTTTCTCTCTTTCTCTTTCTTTCTCTGTTTCTTTCTTTGTTTCTTTCTTTCTCTCTTTCTCTCCTTCTCCTTCTCCTTCTCCTTCTCCTTCTCCTTCTCCTTCTCCTTCTCCTTCTCCTTCTCCTTCTCCTTCTCCTTCTCCTTCTCCTTCTCCTTCTCCTTCTCCTCCTTCCCCTTCTTTCTCTCCCTCATAAGAAGAGTGTTCATTTCTGACATTCAGTGGGAGTTAAAGAGAAAACAACAGCCCCAAAATTTTGCTGGCCAGGATTCTGAGTGATGGCAGGGTCACAAGAGGAGGGAAACCTTTTGGTTTGAACTGAACACTGGACGTCATTTTCCAGGATTTCTAAATGATTTACAAGGAAATAAATTTCATTATTGAAGATGAATGTACTCTGGTTTTTAGATGAGACTGAGTGGGTGAGTAATTTCACCAAGACTTAGAGAAAAGAATAAAATCATCTGTATAATTTACCCTTGTTTGTGGTACTTAAAGAAAATAATATTAACAGAAATGGGAGAGTCTGAATGACTGATATCTGAATTCCAGCATTATGTGGACTATAGTCAGGGAAATAAGGATGGCCATGGATGATTTAGACAGTCTGTTTAGACAGTCTGTTCTTCAGCTTTATGGTGTCTAAATGGACAAATTTTATCTTAGAGGAAAAGCAGCTCGTGGGTTGCAGTCTCTCCTAGGCTTTGGAGGCTCCTCAGGTGTATTTTAAATAAATCAGAGACCCAGGACAGGAGCTGTCCTTTGTGTGCCCTCCTGGGCATCATTTCAAACTCAGGAATCCAGCACGTCCTGGTAACTGTGACTGGGATTATTTAAATCCCTGCAGCTTTTCCCTGTGCTGTGCCAGCCATCCCTGCCATGCTGGAGCTGCCCACCAGTGAGCACCAGTGTTCTGTGGTGGAAAAAGGCATTGTTCACATGTCTGCTCCTTCCATTCTTTGATTTTTTCCTTCCAGAGTTTTGTGTTGCTGCCTGAAGCTGCATCGGATCAAAATCCCTGCCCCAAATCCCTGCCAGTGGTGCCCATGGAATTCCCCCTTCACATGGTTGAGTTTTGGGGGTGTGATGCAAATTGTGGGTGCCTTTGGTACAAGCCCCATGAGGAGGAGCTGGGAAGGGGCTCAGGCTGGAGAAAAGGAGGCTCAGGGGGGATTTCTGGCTTTGGACAGCTCCTGCCAGGAGGGGACAGCCAGAGGGTGTCGGGCTCTGCTCCCAGGGAACAAGGGCCACCAGAGGAAATGGCCTCAAAGGATTCCAGGGGAGGTTTAGATTGAATATTAAGAAAAATTTCTCCATGGAAGGGCTGTCAAGCACTGGAAGAGGCTGCCCAGGGGGGTGGTGGAGTCACCATCCCTGGAAGCATTTAGGAACATGCAGATGTGGGGCCTGGGGACGTGGTGGACTTGGCAGCGTTGGCTTCAAAGTTTGGTTCAAAGATCTTGGAGGTCTTTTCCAACCTTAGTGATCCCATGATTCTCTGACTTTTAGAGTAAATCCTTCCTTTTGGCAGCCCTCTGGTGCTGCTCAGAGTGCCCTGGTTTGGTGTGTGCTGGGGTGGTCCCTGTGAGTGTCTCATCCCTCACCATGCCCACACTTCTGTGGGCTCACAAAAAGGCAGCAACTCCTGTGGCACAGGGGAAAAGATTTTCCCAGCCTTGGGAGCTTCCTGGGAGCTCTGAGAGGAGTTTGGGTGCTGGTGGCTGGAACCTGTCCCCTGTCAGGGAGCACGAGGCCCTGCAAATTAAACGGGGTGAGGTAATGATAACCCTGATCCACGGGAGGGGCTCGTGTTTCTCAGCAGCTGAGGGGGAAATGAAACTTTGATGAGTTAACCAAGAGCCAGAAGCCTCCCAGCAGCTGTAAGGAGACACCTGAAGGGAAAGGTGAGTCAGGATGTGCCTGCAGTGAGGCAGGGCTGGTCAGCCAGGGCAGCATCGCTTTCGTCCCGAGGAAATGGAGGAGACACCCAGGAGGGAATGGGGGAGCCAGGCACAGACTGGGCACTCTTGGCTTTCCCTCACTGCTTGGAGAGGGTATTTACAGGGTTTCCCATTCCTGAGCTATCCCACAGGCTTTGGGGGAAGCAGGGATTTGCACTGAGCCTCCTGAGCTCAGAAATCCTCATGGAGTGGGGTTGGTGGTTGCCTCCCTCACAGGCACCTTCTGTTCCTCATCTTCAGTGTTTTCCTGGTGTCATGTAAGGATGGATAGCCATAAATAATCCTAAATAACCATAAATATGTTGCTGATCATGTTCAAAACCTAAAGTTCTGTAAATGTTCCAGCTGGGTTGGTCTCTTCCCTGAGACAAGAGGAAACAGCCTCCAGGTGCACCAGGCACGGAGTGGGGACTCTTGGCTTTCCCTCACTGCTTGGAGAGGGTATTTACAGGGCTTCCCATCCCTGAGGTATCCCACAGGCTTTGGGGGAGGCAGGGATTTGCCCTGAACCTCCTGAGCTCAGGAATCCTCATGGTGTGGGGTTGGTGGTTGCCTCCCTCACATGCACCTTCTGTTCCTCATCTTCAGTGTTTTCCTGGTGTCATGTAAGGATGAATAGCCATAAATAGCCATAAATAATCCTAAATAACCGTAAATATGTTGCTGATCATGTTCAAAACCTAAAGTTCTGTAAATGTTCCAGCTGGGTTGGTCTCTTCCCTGAGACAAGAGGAAGCAGCCTCCAGGTGCACCAGGCACAGAGTGGGGACTCTTGGCATTCCCTCACTGCTTGGAGAGGATATTTACAGGGTTTCCCATCCCTGAGCTATCCCACAGGCTTTGGGGGAGGCAGGGATTTGCACTGAGCCTCCTGAGCTCAGGAATCCTCATGGAGTGGGGTTGGTGCTTTCCTCCCTCACAGGCACCTTCTCTTCCTCATCTTCGGTGTTTTCCTGGTGTCATGTAAGGATGGCGAGCCATCAATAGCCATAAATAATCCTAAATAGCCATAAATAATCCTAAATAACCATAAATATGTTGCTGATCATGTTCAAAACCTAAAGTTCTGTAAATGTTCCAGGTGGGTTGGTCTCTTCTTTAAGTAAGACAACAGGAAACAGCCTCCAGGTGCACCAAGAGAGGTGTAAATTGAATATTAGGAAACATTTCTCCATAGGAAGGGGTAGCCAGCAATGGAACAGGCTGTTCCAATCCTGGGGGGATTTAAGGGGTGAGTGGATGTGGGATTGGGAGTGCTGGGGGAGCAGCTGGACTTTGATGATCCCAAAGGTCATTTCCAATCTAACCAATGATAGCAGGAATTGTTTGGCAGAAACATGGAACACTTCTTGCAGCTTTTTATGCTGCTCAGAGGGATATTTGGGCTCAGTTATTTTACCTTGATGCTTGCAAGTTTTGGGGTTTTTTATTTATTTTTGGGTTTTTTTGGTTTTGTTTTGTTTTGCTTTGCTTTTCTAGAAAGGCACCAGACATGCATCCTTTAATATAATTACAAAGGAGGGAAAAAAGCACCCCAGTGGATTGTTCAGCCCAACCACCCATTGTTATCCTGCATCCTGAAAATGAAATGCTCTTAAATTTAAGCATCATGCAAAATACATGGAGCCATGTTGTTTCCTTTTGCCCTTCTCTGCATATTTAACCTGTCACTTTCCCTTTTTCCTGTGACAAAAATGTGATGCAGCTCATTCCAGGGATGTGCTGGAGTCCATTTGCAGCCAGAGGTTGCTTTGAAGTAGCACAACAGAGGCTTTATTGATTTATCCTTTGCATTCAGAACAAAGATTTCTGTGATCTGCTACAGGTATTACCAAAAGCTTCCATCAGCTATTCCAGCTTCATCCCAAAAATAATTTCTTTGTGCTTTAGGATCTATTTACAGAAGTCATTGCTTGTACATATGTATATACATAGGTCTTATTAAAACAAACCTCTGAATTCAAAGGCTTTTTAATGATTAAACCTGGCAGGAATTGGTACTAAATGGAGCTCATGAGAATTCTGTTCAGAATATCAGGACAAACCCTCTCATGAAAGGACAGTTTAACTGTAATATTTACATTTGTCTATATGCCATAGGTGCCACAGCTTGGAATTTTTCTTGGAGAAGTAATTTATTGGGATGCATTTTCTATGTCGTGGCAATTTGACCTGATTTGATTTTATTTTCTTTTCTTTACAGGATTAGCTGGAACTGCTGCAGACCTAGAAAAAAGAAAGCTTATTTTTGGAAAAAATTTTATACCTCCAAAGAAGCCAAAAACATTCATACAGCTAGTTTGGGAAGCGTTGCAGGACGTGACTCTTATCATCTTGGAAATTGCAGCCATCATATCTTTGGGGCTTTCCTTTTATCAGCCACCTGGAGAAGGGAATGAAGGTAAAAACTTTTCACAGAAGTCATCTCAGTTTAAGCAAAGCATGTCCTAAATCTCAAATCAATTCCATCACCAGCCTCCAGAAGGTCACTAACAGGAAATTTCCACGTGGTTTGTTCCTGATCCCATTACATCTGCTCCTGACATATTTTTCTTTTCATCTTGACGTTTCTTTATGCAAATCCTGAACTTCATGACGTGAGTTAAAGGAAAATCATAACTTTCTTGTGAAACTGGAGTGGTTTTGATACAGTTTGCACCTTTGAGCCTGCATTTGGAGGGTGTTTGATTCATCCTTTGTGGTTGTTTATCACGTATTCTGGATGAGAAATATGTAATTGCTTATGTAACTGCTGGATCCCATTGCAGGAGCACAGATCTCCAGTTTACACCAGATGAAGGCTTGAACTCAGTGAGATTCACACATTTTAGTATTTTTAGTGGTGCAGCTCAGGCTCATGAGCCTGGCTCCAAAGGGAATATTGGAGCAAAGTCCTGTTCCTGATAAATATTCCCCATATTCTGCAGAGCCTTCCTGGCTGCAGGAAGTTTCACCACCCTGCCTGCCCCCCTTCCTTTTTTCCCATTTCCCCCCCACACCCTCTTTGGAAAGCACTCTTGAATTCACATGCTTAAAATATTTGTTCCTCTCCATAAATGCAAGATTTCCATTTCTGGCAGCTGATCCAGATTTTTTTTCCTCCCCCCCCTCTCTCCTGCTCCCTCCCAGACTTCTAAAGCTGGATCAAACATGCTGTGTGAAATGACGTGAGCAGCTTGGCAAATGTAGGAAGAATGTCTTCCTCTAAATATAGCCCTGAAATGCTTTTTACATTTGCTGCAGTTTCCTTTGGCTGCTTTCCTTGCAGCCCCTTCCTCCTTGCCTTGCCATTCAGCAGCACAAGCAGCACGTAGCCATGCACAGCTCCTGCCTCCTGCCTGGGCTGCTTTCATCCTTTAGAAACCACTGGGAGCCTTTCACTGCTCCCTTGCTGCATTTTGAATGCTTGGCTATTGATTCAGCAGGTGCTCGATTTAGGCATGAAAAGATAAAGGAGTCATTGCTTTTTTTCTTTTTTTTTTTTTTAACTGAAGAAAATGTTATTTATTGGAATTACCTCATCTAACTGGTGGGATACCTTGGGGACATTATAAACCATGAGAGATTCTTTAAAAAATTAGGATTTAGCTTAGACTAAATGTGCAGATTGCCCTGGTTTACTTTATTTTATTTTGGGGGAAAGGAATTTTGAAAGCATGATTTCTCCAGGTTTTAGGGGAGCTGTGTTATCAGGCAGGGGAGGCTTGTTCCTTTCTTTTTCAAATTGTTATTCTTCTTATTTTGATCCTGCATTTAAAATGTTTCTTTTCCCATGGGAAGACAGGAGGCAGCTGAGATTGTGAGGGAGTCTGGAAAGCTCAGCAGCACAGTCTGGGAAAATGTGTTTGTGTTTTCCCACAGCACAGCATTCTATGCAATAGTCACTGCTTTCTCTGCTTTAAGAATTGTTTTCCTGAAAGGTTTTACACAAGAAGAAAAATCAAATTAGGGAATATCTTGTAATCCAATTTGTGGAACACATGGTAAAGGTCTTCCACATTTTTTTGGGAAGTCTTTCTTTGGGCAGTTGTACAAATAATTCCCTTTAATTTGAAAATTATTATATCATAAATTGCTGCTGAAGGCACCTTTAATTGATTGGTAGATGACTTTTTGAAGAGTCCCAAACTCTGGAAAATGGACATATTAAGTTTGATTTTGCCTTGGTGAAGTGGGGAGTAATCCCACTTGTAATTGATTTTAATGGGTTTGACTTCGGTATTTTCCTTTCCTCATTCTCCCCAGAATGAAAATTTCATTGAAATATGCATTTATTGGCAACTTTTATGTTGGGTTTTTTTTCCCTTGAAAATAATATATTTACTTCTGAAAGTACAGCCAGGTGTTAGAAAGGAGAGCTGGCACATGTTGTTCTCTGTTCTTGATCTTGCCTCCTCTTTAAAATTCTTTCTTTTGTTTTTCCAAATGAAATGCATTTTCATTTTGAAAATGAGCTAAGAGGAGTTTTCTTTCCACGCTGATTTATTTAACCACCACTGCCAATATTCTGAGCTCATCAACTTCTTGCTTGGAGTAACTTGAAAAGTTGTCACCCCCCAGAAGTGACAGTCTTGCTTTGGAGGATTAAAGGATAATATGGAAACAAGAGACTTTAGAACACAATATCAGGGAAACACCACTTGTAAACTGAACATTTATCTCCCTTTATTTAATATATCTATATCTGCCTCTCACCCATCCTGAATTTATATCTACCAATGGCATTGCTGGTTAGTATAATAAGTTGAACTCATCTAATTTAAAAATTAGTATAACTCTTTCTTCTCTTGACTCTTGAAACCCACTCGTAACAGAATTAGCATTTAACTGCTTTCTGCAGTTGAAGTGCAAAATGTATTTCTCCTGAGGCTTTTGAAGGAGAAAAGCAGGATAAAATCCACAGCTCCAACAAACATTGGAGTGCTCAGGAGCCTCGTGTAAGGATGTGAGTGTTCACATCTTCATTTCAGCTCTGGTGAGTCTTGGAGAACATAATTTCCATGTCTGGTGGAATCAGGGAATCTGATCCAGAGGAATCTCTGGATAAAAGTGCAGCTTTATTGCTTCTCCAGAAGCCACCCCAGTTCTTTCTTTTCATATTCCTTAGCAGGAGTGCAGGTTTCAAGAATGTTGCTCTCAGGAATGGTTTGGATGATGTGCTTTGCATTCCCTTTCACCATCTGACAGGCCATTAGAAGCAGTTGAGAACTTCTGCATCAATTATTGTCAGCCCCGTGGGCAATTACTGCTCTCATTACTGAGCCACACGAAATCAGTTTGCTGCCCTTTCAAAAAAGTGCAAAACTGAGGCTGGGTTTTAGGAAATGCATCTTGAGAGAAAATTCCCAGTGCAGGTGTAGCCTCCACTGCAGTGAGGATCACACAGGGGCAGGGTAAAAAATATTTTGTTCCTCAGGAAAATCCCTTCTGTGCCTGGGGTTTGTGGATTTCAGTGCTCCCTGGCCATGCAGAGCAGGGGGTCTGTGGTAGCTCAGAGGATTTGATGGAAGTGTGAAATAATTTAATTCACATTATTTTTTTCTGTAAGGTAGATTAGAGGCAGTCCAGGACTAAAATGGAGATGTTTGTAGATCAGTATATGGTGAAATGATTTTTATGAACAGTTTGGAAAGAAATGCCCAGTCTTGTTTTTAAAGACAGTGTATGAGTAGATAGAGTGCAAGCAATGGACTCCAACCATCACATTGCTTGAGGAAACAGGGCATCCTTTAGGAAAGAGTGCTTGGACTCAGAAATCCAGCAAGGGAATAGGAAATGGCTTCTCTTGGCCATTCCCAAATCTCTGTCTTCTTGTGCCTGTAGCAATGCAAGAATGTCAGCTTCTACCTGGTCGTTTGTTATTTTTGGTGGGTTTTTGTTGTTTTGTTTGTTTGTGGGGTTTTAGGGTGGTTTTTTTTGGTTGTTTGGCTGGTTTGCTTTGGTGTTTTCCCTCAGAGCTCTGCTGGAGCAGCTCCTCCTGGCAGAAAAGCCCTGGTGGCATTTGCAGCTCTGTCCCTTGCTGGGGCTGCTTTTCGCAGCCCCCCAGCAGGATTCTGCTGCTTTGGTGCCTTCCCCATCCCTACCCATGTGAACTGGTCCAAACCATTCCCAGAGCCTTCTGCAAACACCTTCAGGGGCAATTCCTGAGCCCTCTCCAGCCCTCCTCCTTGTTTCTATCTCCAGCATCACATGTGGATCTTATTGCAAAAAGTGCTGATGTCAGCCCTGCCAATCATCTGCTGTTTACAGGAGTGTAACAAACCTTTTAACTCTTCTTCTGTAACAAACCTTTTAACTCTTCTTCCTTGAATTCTCTTTCCTTCTGTGGCTTGCAAAGGGGGGGAGAAAGCAGCCTGAGGTAAGATGTTTTAACATCCCAGTGTTTACCAGGAAGCCCCAGGCAGGATATCTATTTTCCAGTGTACAGCTTTTAGCAGCTTAAAGGTGGAATAAAAAGGAAAAGTCTTTTTGGTTCAGGCAGCTTCTGTTACAATTCCCAAGGCAAAGGTCTGGATTGAAAACAAAGTGAAATGATCAGTTACATTGCTCAGTGCTGCTCAGCTGGGTTTTGGCTGGGTTACCCTTCCCCTTACTCATACAACAAGTTGGAAAAACACAGAAACAGGACATGGTCCCCTGAAATTTGGGCTGCCCAAGCCACTTGCTTTGAGATGTTGGTGGTTTTATGCTGCTGCTGCTGCCCAGGGCTGGAGCTGGGGGTCCTGCTGGCCTTTCATGACCTAAAAGAGACTTGATTTCATATTTTATAAACAAAAGAGACTTTATTTCATGGGGTTCACCACTCAGGGGTTTTCTTATCCTTTTTATAATGTGCCACATTGCCCAGTGGGGACTCAAGCTGGAGATTTGAGCCAGAAAGGGCATCCAGAAACCGGAGGGAAGCTGAGGGTGCTGCCTTACCCTGATGCTGTGCTGAGCCTCCCGTGGAGGCAGCACTTGCTCAGACTCGTGGCACAACTGTTGTGGGAATGTCAAATCCCTGCTCGGATGGGATGGACAGCAGGGCCCAAAGAGCCAGGGAGAGGCAGGAGCCCAGCTGGCAGCAGTGCCTGAGTCACCAGGCAGCAGGAAAGGCTCTCCCTGCAGAAGCCAAGGCAGCCAAGGGGGGTTCAGATTAAAGAACTCTGTAAAAATCAGTCAGAGGGGAGGAAAAACCCAAAGCCAAAGAAAGAACTTCCCCATCTCCTTGTCCAGGTCTCTGGCATGGGGTTGGAGGTGCTGTGCTGTTCCCATCTTCTCCCAGGCTCCTGCCTGTGGAGCACAGCCCAAGATGTGTCTTTTGGAATTTCATCTCTTTAGCAGCTCTGGAAATAAATCACTGTGAGGAAGATTTGACCAGCTGTAACTTTGGGTATCTCTGGGAGAAAGTGAAAAAAAGTA